ATTTATGAAGGAAAGAAACTGAATGGAGGATGAATCAGATGTTAAGATATTTCATTATGCAGATAATATAAAAAAGAGATAGCAGAAAAAAAATACATTTCTTTAGAAGATCATGTAACATGTACTCAGCTGCCTTCTTCTAGTTTGCAGTTTCTTTAAATTGCACATTTTGTTTTTCACTTATCTATTTTCAGCTAAGCTATCAGCATTCTGTCTTTATGCTGCAAAGCAGAAACATGGTTTTTGAGTATTTTTATTTAAAATAAAGACACATATTTTCATTTACAGGAAGATATTTTAAAACCCATACCTGTAGATAAAATAATGCTCAGTGAATGTGATAAAAAAAAAATCCCTTTAACAAAATTTTCTCAGTTACTTTGTAAACTCCCAGTTTTTTGCATTTGAGAAAATAAAAAAGTAGTCAAAGTTTTACAAAAAAAAAAAAAAAGTTACAATAAATCCATTTTGTAGAATATTTGAATGTGTTATTTTTCCCCATGCATTTTAATTCCATAAATCTTAATTAAGCGTTTTCATTTAACAATCCGGTGAAGAGCAAAGATTTAAAGGTCAGACACCTTGAAGTAATTCTTTCCAACATAACTTTAGAAAATAGCTTATCGTTATAAAACAACAACAAAAAATAGTTTCTTCTTTAATTTGTTTGTATATTAAAATTTTTACTTAGTTTATCTGACAACCAGTAGCACATCGGGGCCTCCATAGAACCGTAATAAAGAAAATAAACAAATATTTTTTTTAATTCTCCAAATTATCATACTGAAATTAAACATACTCATCTTTGCTTTGATTTTCTCTACTTTGAGTCACAGTAAAAATGATAAGAGGAGCAGAATTCCTGCCACCGTCGTTTGGTCCAGGACTGAAGAACGGGTAGATTGTATCGGTAAAAGAGCACCCAGAGAACGAATAAAGCAGAACAGCAGCATCGACATCATAAAACGACACCTGACCCTCTTCATAATCCACAAACACTCGCACTCTATCTGGATTATATCCCACAGAAAGAGGAACTGGGTTGTCAGAAAGAGCAACAAACTGTCTTGTGTTCTGGAGACGAATGGCCCAGTAGCCATTTTCTGGGTTTAGGTTCAGTTCTACCTTCTTGTTAACTGATTCTTTGGCGACTCCCAGAGTCCAAGCAGTCTTTCCTTTGACCTGGACATCGTAGAAAAACTTTCCACAGGAGAAGCCCTGCTTCCCCAGGACATTGATGGCAGGTTCAAACCTTTTAGAGTGGTAGGGGAGCTCCTTCCATACGTCTCCATGGTGAACCTGTTTTCTATCGTCGGAGACAATGAGGGCGGGATGTGCCGTATCAGGATCCAGCGTAACATCTGTGGCAAACTGGTGGAACTTCTTCATCTCGGCGTCCTGCAGCTTCTCCATCGCATCTCTGACGACCTCTGTCAGCTGACTAGTAGTGCTAACCATGGCCGTCCTCGTCAGTCCTTCATATATGGGCGGACACATCCTCAGCTGGGTCCAGTCTTTTGTAGCTGGAGTGGTGTTGAGCACCGGGACGTTCTGGAGAAAAAGGAGAAGATCTTCGGAGCGGGAAAGCTGCTCCAATTGAATGTGCCTCCTCTTCAGCTTTGATATCTCCTGCTCCAGCTCAGCAATGACACTCTGATCCTGCTTCTCCTTCACTTTCTGTTTCTCCTCAATCCTCCTGATCAGCTCAGCCTGAGCCTTCTCTAAAGACTGAATCAGAGAGGTGAAGATCTGGACGGCCTGGGCCGTCTCGCTGTCTGCAGCCTCCTCGCTGAGCTTCATGGAGTGTTTAATGTCCTTGATCTTGATCCGTCTCTGCAAGATCATCTGCTGAATCCTGGAATTCGTTTCCCCCAACTCAGCCTTCCTCGTTTCGTATTCTTCTTCCACATGAACAACCTGGTGGAACCTGTGACTGGAGGCCCTGCAGCTTTCACAAATGCTGACTTCATCTTTCTTGCAGTAGAGCTTGAGGGGTTCATGGTGTTCGGAGCAGACACTGTCAGTCTTTTGCACTAAAGAAAGCAGTGATGGATTCTCGTCTATAAGTGTTTGAAGGAAATGTAGGTTAACTGTGAAGAAAAGGATAAGAGCCACAAGGGTGACGGTTAACAGCAGGCAGCACCTTGAGGGCAGGTGTTTAGTTCCAACAGGGGGACCACAGGAAGGTCTTCCTAAGGGCACGCTGATCTGCTGTGAGCTGTTTCCTGCTGTCCGTCCTTTTGACGCCCGGTAATGAAGAGCCAGCTCAGATATAAAAGTATTCACACCGAGCTTGTGCTTCTTATCCACTCTCTCCTTGCACATGGGGCACTGACGCTGAGGGTTCGACTTCAGATGCTCCTCAATGCAGGTTCTGCAGAAGTTGTGTCCACAGGGTAATGTGACAGGACTGGTGAACACATCCAGGCAGATGCAGCACCAGAGGTGCTCCTCTGCAAGGGGATAGTTGTCTATGGACATAATTGTCTGCATGGAAACAGGCCCAGCAGCATTCCAGTAAAACCAACTGTTTCTTCCTGCATTAAGGCTCCTATATGGGAAAAAACCAGACAAAGCACAGCCTTAATGACAACATAAGTTGTTTCACAACAGCATTTGTTTGCTGAGGCTCAGACATAACCGCAGACATACAGTACTCACCTAGGCAGCTCGTGGAGGTATACTAGTGTGCTGAGGTGAATTTAGTGCCTTTTTAATAGACGTTCAGAAAGCTCCTCCCTGGAAGAGAAAAAACACCCACTGACATCACAGTTAAAGGACTAATCAGTACAGCACAGTAGTCAAAGTAACCTGTTAGCATATTTCTGTTGTGATTGGCTCCACCCTTCATAGATCAACATTAAAGATTGTACTCTTTACTAATTTATATTTGCTAACCTTTAAGCATGCATGTTCTTTTTGCTGTAGGGGAATGTACCACAAGCGTAAAAAATGTAAAGGAACCTGATAATAATAAATAACATCACAACTTTAGCCTTTGAATGTCAGAAAATATGATTTAATTTATTAGGAAACCCCAACATATCAGAAATATTTTATACTTGAGTAAAATGTTTTTGAATACTGATCGAAGCCCTAATAGGTACCGTTAAGAGTAATCTAAAAAGAAGTAAAAATGTTGATTTCAGGAAGTAGATGAGGTGCTCTGCCAGTGGAATCTGCATATTTTTTCTAATTTTAAGTGAAAATAATTTTATTTCATGTTAAAACGTCATTATTATTTAAATCAAAGGGAAATATGGTTATTTTAAGAAAACTGAATTACTTCACATATATTTCTGTGTTAGCCAAGTGCAAGTTTTCTCTGTTTTAAACTGGTAAAATCATTCATTACTCCTATTTAATTTTCTGAGACAAACTATTGTGTTTTTATGATTTAAGATTTTTCAGGCGATTTTCAGGTACTCCTTATTTCCTTTCTTTCAAAGCATCTGATCCATGTGAATATAAATTCTTTCATCAGGATGTTTATTTTTGTTAGGATACAGAAGCAGGAAGATGGCATGAGTTACTTTTTTAGATTCCTATGATAATTCTGGGAAACAAACATTATATGGAGACATTTTGTCCTTTTCTGTCTGTGTTTATTGACTTTTTAACTGGTAAGTCAGAAAAGCCAACATTGCTAAATTCCTCTGTCATCAAGTGACATGTCCTACTGATAAAGCTTTGTTGTTCTGTCACCATTAGAGATGTTGCCTATTCATCAGCCTAGTAAAATCAGCCTAAAACTATTTGCATTTCCAGCACAGGAATGTTTTGCATTACTTCAAAAAAT